CAAATGAATAGGAAAAGGGTGAAATAGTGTACGAGCCGAATGCAACATTCAAAGTGGACGAATATGGCTTTTTCATATATTGGAAATCTGAGGGCAAAGTAAGCAATTATAAATTGATTGTAAATAAGGATCAAGTTTTTAATAAATTGTAATTATATTGAAAGGAGGGACAGGTGTTAGAACTATGCCAAGTGAATGACATCAGATTAGGAGGGGTACCAAAGGTATGACATTATTAATACATAATCAAGGTTACAGTTGAGTATATTTAAGTAATTAATGACAGGACCCGAGACTTCTCTATGAACTCCAACAGCGAACCACTGGAGTACTTGAGGACTGTTCACTAACTATATGCAGTGGTTATGATATGGTTAACATCAACTACACTCACATCGTCTGTCCCGACGATCAAACTGCTAAAGTATTTTTATCATTAATTATGAATATATTTTATAAATTCATCCAAATGTTTATCATTATTTTTTTAAGTATTTAATATTTTAAGTCAGTGTTTGTGACTTTATTTTATTATATTAACCTAAAAGATAAATCACATACAAAAATAATGATCAATTGATATGACAATAATAGCAAGAATATACTGTATTAATCCATTACGAGATAATACTGTGCTCTTTATATAATATAAAGATAATTAAAAACTTAATTTTTACAACATTCACTTGAATTAAATAATATTTTCTTAAAAAAGATATAAATTGTAAACTGCATTATAAACAATTAAAATAGCATAATTTTAGCATTGTTTAAGAATAATTGAAACATTTGGATCTTTTTATGAAATATATTAATGTATTATTTATACGGTACTTATTTAATGTTAATGTCAAAATAAGGATTGGCAACAATGGTTAAGACAAATCACTAATAATAATAAGGCCAATAATGTTTGTCCGATTACTTGTTTAAAGAAACAGTAAGTCTGTGAAATAAATATTGCAAAATTATATCAATTAAATCAAAATTTTGTGTTTTGTTAAAAGTTGGATGAAATTAGGTTTTCTAACAGACAGTAACTGCAAAATTCCGGTTAAAAGGTATTTTTAATCAATTTTTTGTAAATAAAATTAATCTTTATTTAACTTGGAAATTTTCTTAAAATTTGTTGCTTGTTATAATTAATTTTACTATATTTGCTAAAGTGTTGCCAAAACATTTGCTTCGGGAAAGACTGAGAAATTAATTTATCAAATGATGAAAGACATAGGACTTCCTCACGATAAGGTATTACTAGTATTATTATATTAATTTAAAGTAATATTAATATTAATTGAATGTATAAAGAATGATGTGATTGAGCCGTCGGAGTGGACTTTTGAGAGGTTTTATCGACTCTACCATAAGGTTTGTCCCCGAAATGACATCGAAGAGCTATTCAATCAGATGTAAGATTTTAATTGATTTCATGGAAAACATAAGAAATTAAACGAATTGAATAAAATTTGCATAAAACAGAACTCAAGGGAAATCTGATTATATAGACCACAAGCAATTGATTGACTTCTTGAATGACGTGAGTTTGCATTTAAAAAGCTATTGTCTATTACTTGGAAAATATATTGAAAGCTTTTGATCGCATGAAAACATAAAATAAATTAGATTTTAAAGCATATATAAGTGGTTTTGATCTCAAATGTAATTGAGTTTTGATCCCATCTATTGATACAAGAATTTTGATGAGTGTTTCATTTGATCTTATATTCAACAGAAACAACGCGATCCCCGACTCAATGAAATACTTTATCCATTTTATGACGAGAAAAGGGCCAAAGAGATCATCACTACATACGAGTCTAACCCAGAGATCGCCAAAAACGGGTGCATTTCACAGGACGGACTCATTCGCTACTTGATGTCTGACGAAAACGCACCCGTATTTCTGGACCGACTCGACATCTACATGGAAATGGATCAACCCCTGTCCCACTATTACTGTAATTCTAGTCATAATACATATTTAACGGGCAGACAATTTGGTGGCAAATCTTCTGTAGAAATGTAAGTTACAAACCATTGAAAGCACATATCATGTGATTCTTAAAAATCCAGTCATTCGTGTATAACCAAAATGAACACATAATTCACAAATATGATCAACCAGAATTTTTAAATATAAATAAACAGTAAATTATTCAAATTATTATTGAATGCAACATTAATACTGTATCTACAGTTCACTGTAGAATCTACAGTAGATAGAATAATACTGTAGTATAAGATTACTGTACTAAAACTATCATGATGCTTTAAAGACAAAATTTTAACTTATTTCATTTTTATTTGATATTATGTTACAGGTATAGACAAACATTGATAGCCGGGTGCAGATGCATCGGTAAATTATATCTATTATCTAAAGTTATACGGTATAAAGTTTTAAAGACATTACTGTAATATTATTGATCAGAATTGGACTGTTGGGATGGAAAGGTAGATGAGGAGCCTATTATAACCCACGGGAAAGCCATGTGCACTGATATCCTATTTAAAGTAATTATATCATTGATTATATCTTTGTGTGGTTTAACATTAATATTATGGTCAGGACGTCATCTTTGCTATCCGTGACTGCGCTTTCGTTACATCTGATTATCCGGTGATCCTATCCTTTGAAAATCACTGCAGGTATTCATAATTAAATACAAATTTTGTATATTTAAATGAATATTAAACTATAAATACAATACTCTTCAACAGTATTGAATTCTATATGAAAATATAATAATATGATTACCAATGTCATTTAACAGTAAGAAACAGCAGTTCAAAATGGCCAAATACTGCGATGAGATTCTCGGAGATTTGCTGCTCAAGGAATCCCTCGTGAACTACCCCTTAGAGCCCGGGGCCCCACTTCCCACTCCTAATGATCTCAAACGAAAAATTTTGATTAAAAACAAACGACTCAAAGCAGACGTGGAAAAGCGTGAGTCCCTTAGAAAATATAGCGATTGTGTGCAGAATTTAATTGAATTGAAATTCAGAGGAATTGGAGCTCTGGAAGAAGGGTCAGCTCCAGGCAGAAGATGACGACGAGGAGAACGAAGACGCGAACGCTGTCTCCACTTTGGTTGTCAACACTTCCATCGATGAAAGCGGTCTTTAATTTTATTATATTTTTAATTGATAATATCAAATGTATTCATTAGTGAAGTATTCATCAGACAAAAAGATTGAGGACGTAGAGCCGGAGCAGTTAGCAATGGCTAATTATCAATACACTGGCGCTACGCTACATATCCACCCATTCCTGTCCTCACTGGTCAACTACGCCCAACCCATTAAGTTTCAAGGCTTTGACATTTCAGAAGAAAAGAATTATCAGTTAGTTTTGATGAAACCATTTGTTTGTCTTGCTATCAATTAATGGTGTGATGTCTTAGTTTCCATATGTCATCGTTTGCTGAGAACACGGCGTTGGGTTATCTCAAGTCTCAGGCGATTGAGTTCGTGAACTACAATAAGAGGCAATTGAGTCGAATCTATCCGAAGGGCACGAGAGCTGATTCGAGTAACTTTTTGCCGCAAATCTTCTGGAATGCCGGCTGTCAGATGGTTGCCCTCAACTTCCAGACATCAGACCTACCGATGCAACTAAATCAGGGAAAGTTTGAATACAACGGCGGCTGCGGTTATCTCTTGAAACCCGATTTCATGCGAAGAAAGGACAGAGTCTTTGATCCGTTCGCTGAGTCACCGGTCGATGGAGTGATTGCCGCCCAGTGTTCCGTACGAGTCATCTCCGGACAGTTTTTATCGGATAAGAAAGTGGGCACTTATGTAGAGGTAGACATGTATGGGTTACCAACCGATACCATTAGGAAAGAATTCCGCACTCGAATGGTTCCCTCCAATGGACTGAATCCAGTCTATAATGAAGAGCCCTTTATATTCAGGAAAGTAGTTTTGCCCGATTTGGCGGTCATTCGTATTGCCGTTTACGATGAAAACGGGAAAATGTTGGGCCAAAGGATACTGCCTTTAGATGGCCTACAGGCCGGGTATCGACACATTTCACTGCGAACTGAGGGAAATTTTCCGATGTCTTTACCTATGCTTTTCATTTGCATTGAACTTAAAATCTATGTCCCGGACGGCTTGGGAGACCTGATGGATGCTCTCTCAGATCCCAGAGCTTTCCTATCAGCACAAGAGAAACGAATCGCACAAATGAAAGCAATGGGTATCGAGGAAACAGACATTCAGATCCAAACCCATAACTTAGCACTTGTTAAACAACAGCGCGAAGAGGAGGCCAAGAAAGAGGACTATAAGATCGAAGCCATTAATTTAGAGACACTTAAGAATGAGAAACTGTTCATCAGATCCGTTAGAAAACATCAGAAGGAGTTCGAGGCCATGAAGAAGAGGCAGCAAAAAGAGAAGAACTGCACTCAAAAGCAACAGTGCGTTGCCATCGATAAAGTCATGAAACTCACCAAATCTGATGACATCGCCAACGACCCAAATGTGAAGGAATTAGTGGCACATCAGATGAAACAGTGGAGTGATATGATTGAGAGACACCATAGAGAGGAATGGGACCTTTTAAAGAGTCAAATCTTACAACAGGGCGACACTCTTAGGAAACTTTTAGATCTCAATCAAAACTTTCAATTAAAACAATTGGAAATTGTTTTTGAAAGAGAGAGCAAAGAGATGAAGACAAGACAGGCGAAGGTGTCGGTCGAGACGGCCAAAGAGGTGTCTAATGATAAGACTTTGAGAAATAAAGCGGAACGGGAGAGACGACTGCGCGAAAAGAATAGCAATAATACCAAAAAATTTATCGAAGAGAGAAAAACTGCTGCAATGAAGCAAAACAAGGAAAAGGAAAAACTTAAGAAATCACACGAAAAGCAAATTCAAGACTTGGAAAGAGAAACAGAAAATGTAAGCATTTATTCATAAATTCTTTATTTAATTACAAATTCCACACATTGTACCATTGCTACTGTATTAGTGTTAAATTGAAATAACAATTTTATTACAGGCACTGGATATCTATAAAAATGCTGAAATCGAGTACAAATTGGCCGCAAAAATGGAATGTTATATATAGTTAACTAACAAATTGTTAATCAAAAACAACATGTTTTCCACTTTTTAAGAAAGAATGGATTTGATGAGAAAATATCATATCCTATACAAAGACATAGGAAAATGGAAACTACCGTTAAGTGATCCGAATTTGAAGTTTCTTATTTGAAATGTTTAATGTTTTGGATTCGTTGAATATTTACAGTATAAATCACTTCCAGACTTTGTTACAGAATTTGTTTTATTGATCTCTCATTTTCTATGTGAGAACATACATTTTATTAATCATTATTTGTTTAAATCTTTATTATATTTATTAATATTAATATATTTTTCTTTTTTTATTAATCTTTAACAGAAAAGGCTTAACTATTTTACATTTATTTATTGGAAGTTTTCCAAAACTTTGATTCCAACTATTTTATTTTGTAGTGAATATATTTATATCTCACACAATCACTCGGTTCTCATTCAACTCAATCTTTTGAAAATTGTTGCCAAATATAGGAAACAATACATTTAAAGGCTTAGAATTGTTAGTACAGATGAGTCGAGCTCTGCCCACAAAGCAAACAAACTCGGCTTAAACAGCAACACCATTACCTCAAGTCTTAGGTTATATTTATTCATATTCGCAGTCAATTGCTTCCAAACCTTTCAAACATTTCCTCTTTCTTACGCTCTTTTATAAAATTTGCCACATTTTCCCTAATATAATAAGGATTTGAAACTTATTGGTAAAATGTCAACAGATTTTATCAATGTTGTGTGTTTTATCTAATATAGTATTAGTGAGTTTTATGATTAATAACTTAAAACGATTCTATTCATTAATTTTTGCTTAATTCTCGAAAGCAATTAAAATATTTTGAGATTTGTATGCTTACAAGTTAGAAATATACAATATTCACTATAGTGTAGAATATAAGCAATTTAAAAATAACTGAACACAAAGTATGAAATAATTGTAAACCAAAAAATACAATTCTCTAATCAATCAATGAATCAAAGGCTGCGCTCGTTTGATATTTAGACATTATTCATACAATAAATATAATACATTTGCCGAGTGTTTTGCTATCATATTATATAAGTGCTTCAAATAAGAGATTACTAATGAGTGATAAAAACAATGTTGGGATCAAATGATTGAAAACAATAAAATAGTCTATTGTGTAGAATAGCTGAATGCAGACTATATTCAATAAACTTTATAGAATATAATGACTATTCTGTGCATCCAGTCATTCATTCACTGGTTATCTCTGTTTGTTTAATGGAAGCATATATTTTACACGTTATTAAAGATTATTATCAAATTTATATATAAATTGATATTATGACGATTAATTAGATTTAATAATTTATTTTACAACTAATAATATAATATTATAAACATATTTATAAATATTTGAGATTTATGTGATGTAAAATATATTAATGATAACAATAGAGAAAATTCTAAACTGTAATATAATGTTATTTTTGTGCCAAAAAATGATATAATTTTACAAAAAAAAATAAAATAAAATAATTATCAGGATAATTGAATTCAGTTTATTCGACGTGCAATTTGTTTGGATCCGTAAACTTAGCCGTAAGTATATAGAAAAATGTGGGAATGGGTGCTAAACATAGTAGAGGCAAATGGAGGGTTGGGTTCTTGAGTTGAGTAAGAGATATGATGCCATACATGTGGACAAACCAATGACACACTATTATCAGACAATTCTTCTTCTGGAACAACGACTTCAATAATTTTGATGGTCTTTGATCTGCAATCACATCTCAATTAAGACTGGAATTGTAGCTGAATTGAGGACTTACCCAATTGGGAGGCCATGTGTATGGCCACTGATATTATGGAACCAATGATTATGATATAAGGGAACGAATAGTCTTTTCATGAAGAATATGATAATTAATGTCTTAAACAGTGATTGCTTCTCAAAGAGCTTACAAATGAGTCCACAGAAGAGGGCGTGAATGAAGGAAAGGCCGGGAATGACATAAAGTGTCAAATAAATAGTTTTCGTGATATTCGAGTCGTTGAGTAAGTCATGGAGGAAGTCATTGCTGGACAAGAGTCTCAATACTAATGACATGAGTCTTAAGTAAAGGGGTCGACATAGAAGGAGAAGCAGAGAAATGGCATAAAATATGAAAATCATTGAATACAAGGGAAAGACCGCCTCTTGAGTGCAATATATGGTTGTCTTGTAATCGGGCGATGGGTTGAAGAAAAATGTGTAGAAATCAGACAATCGTTTTGGTGGACATGTGTTGAGCTGAAGGGAACCGAAGGGTTCGGTCACTAAAAGACTGATCACAAGAGAGAGTGTGTTCTCAACCAAAACCACTGAATGCAAGACCAGGACATCGACAGTGAGTTGACGTCTTTTGACACATTCTTCCGTCAAATACCACTCAATGATCACTAAAATGAAAGCCATGAAAGTGATGTACAGCCAGTCGTAAAACTCTGGTCTTTCCACACACTCCACGCAAACGCCATTCCCATCCACTCGGAAGCCTCGCAAACACGACTTCAATTGATCCAAACAAACATTACATCTCAAGACATCACCACATTCAACATGACATCACTTACACCACAATCGCTGTAATTATATTCATCTAATTTAGTTCTTCCGCAGTAAAGACCAATACATCCAACACTTGGGTCCATAGCATCCATAGAACCAACTCATGGGCTGATTATGTCTTCGCAAGTCTTCAGTCAATTGTGTCAAAGATATCAATCAAACCATTCATTCATTCAAACAATCATTGGTTTTGTTTACAAATATTGTAATACTTTTCCATCAATTATGTCAGTCTTTGCCGATAATTATTTAAATTGTTTTCTCATTGTTTTAATTGAGTTTTAAACTCATGTAAAGTCTTAATAGTCTTGAGACAAATGAATGGTTAGTCTTTGGGATGATTTATGTGATTATGTTGTGAACGAAAGGTATGGTTAGATGTGATGTGTTTGGTGTCCAATGTGTGCACTCTTTGGTGCAAAACACGTGCTTTTGTTTACAATTTCTTTGAACTCATTGTGTGTTTGCATTGGTTTTCAGTGAATCCAAGACTATATTATGGCCGAAGACGTGATACGAGAGGGATATTATGTGATCATCCGAAGAACTCACGAAAGAGAGTCGAGTCGTCTGATTAAAGCAGAAATGGATAAGTAATGACACATTTGATCCATTAGTTTGTCTCCTGAAGACTAACCATACATTGAATTGCTTTGAAAGACCCGTATTCTTAGGGAAACAAAAGATTCATTTGAATAATATCTTCGGACAGAGATTTGGGACCACTTTTGAATGGAATAGAAACCGAGACCTCGATGTCGTCAATGTCCAGCAATTGGCGAATACATCCCTGGATTTGCCGCAACTATCGGCGCCTTCCGGTGACAACAAAGACAAAGACAATCGCTTTATTATAGACGACGGAAAGTCACAGAAGTTGTCCAAAGACGACATCGAGGTCCTCAAGAGCGAGCTCTCGAGTAGTGAAGTGATTGAGAATCTGGTGAAGAACTGCTCGACATTTGAACAGAAGACGTCTTTTGCTCAACAGAAGTATCTGAAGAAAAAGCAGAAGAAATACTCGAATTTAGTGACTATTTTGAGACCAAATGTGAGACTTTTAGCGGAAATGTATTTCTCTCGCGGACCACAAAAAATTGAGTAATTTTTGCATATTTTCCAAACAAAAGTGAATCCAATTTTCATTGAATTTCTTTTTATAGTTATCTGCGAATCGATTCTCTCTCACAAATGCTTTCCTTATGTAATGTGATGTCTGGCCGAAGATATATAGTATTGGACACCAATTTAGGTATTCTGACGGCCGCTGTAGTCGAGCGGTTGGGGTCGAGCGGCACTGTTATCCAGGTTTACACAGATCCCGGTCCCGTCTCTACATATAGACAGTCCGTCGACGCACTGAATCTTCCAAAGGAAACCATTGCTAACATGTTATTTGGACTTCAAATCAATGAAATCTATCGGTTGTCTCAAAGCAATAGTTTACCCGAAATGTCAGATCAGAGTTGTGGTCAACAGTCTGGCGATAAAAGTGAGAAAACAGTGGAAAGTGAGAAATTGATCCGAAGAGCGATTCGCCACAAAGAAGCGCTCAAAGCACTGGAAATATTGGCCCAAAAAGATATGGACGGACTGTTATTGCTGAGCAAAACCTACGATCCCCTCAATATTGTGCTTTTATTACTTGACTTTTTAGCCGATTCGCGACCCTTTGCTATATTCAGCCCATATATGGAACCGCTTTCGCACTGTTATTCTGAACTTAAAAAGAAAGCCGTGTTTTTACGACTGACAGAGACGTGGCTCAGAAAGTATCAGGTTTTGAGCGACAGATCCAGACCTGACATGTCTATGAGTCCTAGCAGTGGGTATCTATTGACAGGAATTAAAGTTAATAATAATATTATTCAATGCTAATTTACTCTATATTCATATGTTTGACAAATAAATTATTTTGTATAATAAGATGTCATAAATTTACATTAAAATGAGCATTAAATTCTTGAATGTCAATGAACCTACTGTACTGTACCGTACTTGTAGAATACGGCAATTTTTTGTACCGGTAATAGTTTTTTTTTATAATAGCTACTTTTTTTTATCAAATATGATGGTATTATAGATAATAGAAATTCAATTCTATCTAATTGTAGACAATGAGTCCTAACAGTTTCATTTGATTTATATGGTACAATTGTAATCATAAAATAGACCAGGTAATCTAGAATCAAATTAAAACTTATAATTCACAACTTATTATGATATAAACCCCTTCTCCCCCACAGTACTGATGCCGTCATTTATGAGCAGCCATTATATGTCCGCCAAAACGTGATTTTGTGTGCATTTGTTTGACTGTGAATTGGTTTTGAATGAGATTATCATTCAATTGCTGACCACTGCCATCACCAGTAAGTGACACACAATGGATGAATCAACGAGTGTGGCAATGGATCCAATACCACACATGGCGTGTGAGTGGAGTTTTGGCAATGAGTTGACTATCTTCAACCCGACCCTCAAGAGCCCACATATGAGACAATCTGGAAAAGTGTGTCAACTCTATGACCACAAGTTTGTCAAACCGGAGATGTATTCAAACCGATTCTCGAGGTCTCTGTTGAGTGAATCCATGTCTGTCTTCAAATCACTGCAGCGACTGTCAGCCAAATGTGAGCCGCTCTCCAGAAGTGAACTCATTAAAGGGAGCCGAAGATACCGGTCAGTGATTCACTCGTGTTATTTCAATCTCATGAACACCGGAGACAACTCATCTCAGGCCATGTCTTTGAGTCATATGTTCTGTCAGATGGAAATCGTGTGGAATTTATGCGAAATCCTGTACATCGATGTCCACACCTCTGGCTTCCTATTGAACCAACTGTTGGTTTGGATTAAATGGCACTTCACGCGCACCAATCAGATGGCCACTCAAGTGATGAACGCAGACATGCCATCAGTTGATCCCAACTACTGGAATGTCATCCTCTCGTTCCTCTTGAGGGGAGAGACAGAAAACGCGAGACTTGTGTTGGAATTGCATTCAAACGCATCCGACAGACAAGAGTTCATTGTTTTGCGGGATTTGATTCACAAAATGCCAATCATTTCCAACAATTACTTATTGCATGAGTTTTATCTTCGATGGCAGACATGGAGGGAGAACTGCGAGCAGACCCTCAGCGACGGTATGTTTGACGCCAACCCTAAACTCAAACTAATCGCACGACTCCTGTGCGGAGAAATGGATGCATTCAAAGAAGTGCTGCATTTATTTGAGTCGTGGTATCACTTAATGGTGTCATACCTGCTGTTAACGGATCCCTGCATTAAGGAGAATAACTTCCGTGATTTATGCCACAAATGCATCGACTTGTATGCCTTAAAGGGTGGGAACAGTAGTGCGGACAGTAGTATGGATGCAGTGATTACCGCGGCGTTCAGTTACGACTTGACACAAGTGATCCAAGCGAGCAGTTCCTGTTGGGACGACAACTGGTGGTTCGCCACACACTTCGTTGATCTCATCTATAATGCGAATCAATTAGATTTACATCAAATCGACTTTCCGGCCAAATTCAGGGATTTCTTTGTCATCGAATACGCCAACCATTTGGTGACAGTGGACAACCTCTGGTCCTTTGGGATCGACTATTTGTCTCATTGTATGGAAAATGGCTTGAATTACATAGAACTCAATCTGCAGAGGATTGCCATCACTGACGACTCGAGCGCTCATAAAGTGATTCATTTGGCCGACAAATTTGCATTGAATTACATCACGAAATCCATTTGCAAAGTCTTGACGCGTAAGTGGCTGTCCAGACAACGGCTCGGATCAGCTCTGTTTTGGGCCATCAGGAGCGAAGACCCGGCGCTCACCAATCATATCGCGGATCTATTTCTTAGTCATTACGATAAAACTGGAGAATTTCCAGACGAAGACATACTGAGCAGTTCCGGAAGGTTTATGCTAATCAGTGACCGCTTGACCTTTTTGGCCAAATATTATGAGTTCCATCAGCTCAAGAAAGACTGTCAACTCGAGAGTGCGGCACAACTCCTCATCTCACTCTTGGTGTCCAATATTGCGCCCAAATTTTTTATCGTCAGATTACTTATGGATTCGTTACCACTCCTCGAGACCCAAGACATTGTCTTAAACTCGGAACAGACGTCCCAACTGTTGGCATCACTGGAAGAGATGCTAAGTTTTAGTAAACACCCGAAGGATGCCAACGTTGACATGGAATACCTTAAGCAACGCGAAGACATTCTTCGTCTGGCAATCGCCCGAAATATGGCGCGAACTTTCATTTTCAGCCATTGATTGCGTGATTGTGTCCACAATTACAGCACTCTTTTCATATTGTATTGAATGCTTTAGTTTTGATAATTGTATTCATTTTAAACAAATTGATTAAAGGATTAATGTTTTATAATTTATACCAAATCTAATGAATCCAATGAATGGACAGTCAATGGGTTGGCGTTTGAAGTGAGCGGGGATTGTGTGACACGTGACTAATCACGTGATGAAAGCGTCGAATAGTTTGAAAGGAAACCAAAACAGAGTTTATTTGTAAACAACTTCTTGTGAAACGAGTGTTTCATTGACACCACAATTGGTCTCTTAAGCAAACAATCCATTTGTTGGACACTATCTGTGGGTCTATTGGTCTCTGTATGCTATCCAGTGATGGCGTGGAGATCTCATGGACGCACGAACGCTGAGATGATCATCAATCTGAAGAGTATGGATGAGATAATGGCTCAGACAGTGATGTATTAATGGTAGTGATTGTGGGTATGTTGCAGAGAATGGTATCATTGGGGACAGTGGTGTGGAGCGGGCGATGATGTCAGTGGACAGGGCTAACTACTGTCCCAACAACCCATACATGGACTCTCCTCAAGGTATCGGATATGCCGTCACTATCAGTGCCCCTCATATGGTATGCCATCAAACCTCACAAACAAATGCCATTCAATGCTATGATTAGGAGATTATGTGTGAAACCCATTTGAATTAGAGTTAGAGTTACAGTGATTTGATAATTGAATTGATATTACAGTTAAACTATAAATCACTTGAATATACAGTAACTTATAAGTAATCACATGTCTGTATGTAAAGCACGCACACGCTCTACAACTGCTGAAGGATCACTTGACTGATGGTATGGTTATTATCTTCTCGTCATTTCAATGAATTGCAATTAATTTCAATATAAAACTAAAGGCAAGAAAGCACTGGACGTGGGCTCAGGTTCTGGGTATTTGACGGCTTGCATGGCTTTAATGGTATTATAATAGTTGTGACAATTAATTATGAATTGTTGATTAATATGTGTCTAAATGGTATGAAAAGGTGGGTCCCAGAGGAAAGGCTATAGGCATCGATCACATCCCAGAATTGGTGAATATGTCGGTCGAGAATATAAAGAGAGATCAGCCAAACCTGATTGAGTCGAATAGAGTGAAACTGATTGGTTGGTTAGAACTCATTGTTTTGTCTTAAGAGTTGCTTTCAATTGACTATTCAAACAGTTGGTGACGGAAGACAAGGATACCCATCGGAAGCACCTTATGATGCCATACATGTGGGTAAGTAAGACAAGGAAAGGAACTGTCATTTAGTTGCACTTAGAATGCAAATTATGGTCGACTGTAATCTGAATGACATTGTGTTGCACTACAGGCGCCGCCGCCCCTAACCTCCCACAAGCCGTAAGTAGAGTTTGACTCGAAATGTGTTGTTTCTATTGTTATGACTTTTGAATCAGTTGGTGGATCAGCTCAAACCCGGTGGTCGACTCATTGTGCCCGTCGGGAGGGAAGGCTATAACCAATCGCTCGAACAGATCGACAAACTGGAAGACGGTTCCATCCGACGCGAGTCCCTAATGGGTGTCGTATACGTACCGCTCACTGATAAGAACGCCCAGTGGCCCGGGAGGTGAACTCATTTCCATTGCATTGCATTGATTCAGTTTTCAGTCATTTTATAAGTTTATGAAATTCTTATATATTTTAACTAAATTTTTGTTTGTTTCAAAAGAAGAGTACAATTATCTATTTGTTGCTAATGTTTTGAGTTTTTATTTCAAAATACACTTATTTTCTAGGAATGAGTTGTAAAACTGACACTTTCACTAATAGGGACTGTTTTGAATGCTTCTGATCTCTGAGAATCATATTTCATTGAAATCTTCACTCATCTGAAGATTCACATTGAAGACCATATTTAATGAATAACAATACAGTTATCCATTCATTCATATAATCTTTTTTTTTGAAAATAACACATTTTTGTGCATAACATATGAATAGAAACTTTTGAAAGCATATTATATACTTGTATAAAGTAATGTAATGTAATTAATGTAAAGTTAATTGTAATGAATAAATCAAATAATATGTTGTGTAAAAATGACTTAATGTAAGAATTGACTTCCATTCATTAATTTCTATGCATTAATTCATTTTAATAAAATGCTAAATAATCTACTGTACAGTATGATGTACAGTAATACCGGTATTATACTACCGTACAGTAAATACTGTATTTATTGTAACTTTAGATGAGTTTATAAAAATGGTAAAATATTGTAAATTGTATTTAATAAAATTAAATAATAATAAACATGGATTTATTATTTACATAAACTTATAAGTCGCAAATTAGATCGCAAATTTTGGTATAAATTATAAGCAATATAATGTTCATACAGTATACTCAGTTCATTTTGGGAATTTGTTATCACAAACAGATACTACTAGGCTATTACAAATATTATGATCATATTTTATACAATTAGAACTTACTTTGCATTTGACTTACAAGTTAACTGCAGTATTATATTCACAATTCCCTACTTTATATCATGAATATTCACTTCATCCCCATAACAAGCAATTCATTAAATTATTTATTAGGTTTCATTCATACAAATGAGTCGTTTATTTAATGAATGCCTATTATGTGGGACTGGAGGACTGGACGGGATATAGAAATGTCAAGTATTTGTGATTTTCAGAGATATAGACAATTATTTGAGGGATGAGCTCATATCTTAAGGTCACGTCTAATAAGGTTTATAATATAAGAATTCATTAACTGAAGGCTAATTGAGTTATTATTACTGTATTTTTGAGTGGAATTTACGATTTCATTCATTTTGTCGGAATTGTCGTTATTATAGGAATTGTTTGCTTTACAGATGTTGTGAAGGGCTGTCCCTCCAGTCATGCATTAGTTTGCAAGTTTCATACCTCTTATTACAAGTTCTTATCCATTCTTTCAATTTAATGACATTTTCTTATGTATTCATACAAGTGTCATATAATCAAGTTTAGTCATAGTTTTGGTCATATTTTCATAAACTTTAAATTCTGTGACAAATATATAAATATATCTGCTTTTAATCACAGATTACCAAACAATTGATCACATACTGGTAATACTTACAGTAAGAAAAGCAAAAAAATCTTAAATGAGTTATGAAAAAAGTTTGACAGAAGTCTGAAGTTAGACAGAAGTTTAGTGACTATATTTATGTTTGAATAGCCGTTTCCAGAGTTGAATGAAGTGGTGATGAGAACGCATGCGATGTTTTAATACAGGTTTGGGTATTCATTGGTGTGATGGTTCAGGCATACATATCCTTTTTCATAGCACTGGAGACTGTTAACCGAGTAGTTCATGAAGTGAATGCCTGGCAGTGAGCGACTGAATGGCCGACGAATACACAGCGAGTGTTGCCATCAATGATGTTCACGTATGCTATGCTATAGTAATGCCATTGATATGACATAAACATTGGGTTTCCAGTAGTTTAGAGTTCAATGGTTTGCAAACAATTCACTCATTAAACCATTTGTTAGATATTTGTAATGCTTTTCATCCATTCATTGCTTCACTAATTGTGTGACAAGTGATTCATATCTGATCCCATCGTCAGCCACAATGTGCCCCAACAGTGACCAGTGATGACTGTGTGTCCATACAGTCAGTGGTAGTGTAGTGTTGGATGTGATGGCATCGGATGTGTCCAACCAGAAGAAGCGTCCGTTGAGTATCAGTTCCGTGTCGTCGTCATCCACATCTTCGTGCTCTTCGCTCACGAGGAATGGCTCACTCGGTCTGTACGACTGTCCGGCCATCGATGGCACGTGCGCTCATCGGCCGCCGATTGTGTCGATCGCAGGTATGGCCGACACGAAGAAGTCTTATTTGGCGTCAATTGAGAGCTTAGACGACGCGGACGACACGGACGACGACTCGTTGGGAATCATTCGTATGATTAGAGCCAAAGTGAACGGTTGTGGGGGTCTGGGAGCCATCGCACCCAACCCTCCATCCGCAGCCCACAACAGTCTCGCCGATCGTCCCCAACAGTCATCGCCACACATGACAACCCCTACTGTTCCTAAATATTTGGACACTAACTTAAGTCATATCGAAAGGGTTATCGTCGAGATCGTCGAGACTGAGCGCCAGTATGTCAATGATCTGCAACAGATCGTTGAGGTATGTGTTCCCGACCTACCAAACAATTACCATTAACCATGTCTTGTATCTTATGTCTTATGTCTATTCGGCACCAAATGTTTGCTTAAAACTTATAACTTATGGTTAACTATAAGGAAATTGTATTTTCATTTGGTTTTGTAATTTTCGTGGATAATAATTGCAATACAATTGAAATTGAATGGGTTTTTAGATTTAAGAGTTGAGTGCATCGCTAAACATAGCGTTTATTGAATGAGACATAAACTCAATCTTATATTTCAGATAATAATAGCTACAGATTTAAACCGATTTTAGTATGCGATGAGTGAGAAGCGATTACTTTGTTTTGTAAACATTTTAACACTTTTGTAAAATGAGAGATATTTTCAAATCAATTCGTACTGAGAAGTGCTTTAACAGAGTTATGGGGTATTGGGTGTGAATTATTGTCAGCCCAATCCCAATCCCTATCTCTATCTACTGTTTTGTGCGTTACATAATAAATGCCATATTTCCTCATTCATTATCACTTTTGATTGTTTAAGGGGTCGACACCACTCTTAATAGGGTTAGGGTTGGGGTTAACCCTATTTACTCTCTTTTTAAGTGATAATAAGTAGTAAATTGATTTCAATGTTAGGCAATAGAAGTGTCTCATTATTGATAGTAAGTTATAGTCGAGTATAGTATAGGAAGGATTGAGTGGTGTTTGAGTGTTGACTACAATCAAGTGTTGAATGTATTTAAAAGTCAGACATCAGTGCGAATGTATGATTGGTTGGGCACTAATATAGTGATGACTTCCCTATTGCCGGCATATTTGAACTCTGTTTTTGACAATCGGTTTGATTATTGCGTCGAGTGAACGCTAATATCATTTGTCAGATGTTTGATAGATCCTCAGCCTCTCAGCACTGCTCTATGGAGTGACTGTTCAGGTATTTTCCTGAACTCTTAGTCAATGTCATGAATATAGTTATAAATTTAATGTATTTATAAGACTGTAGTTCTGCACGAAAGAAGATATCACTGAAACACTCACTGATGAACAGATGTGACTCAGACTCCTATGATGTATGAACCAAATGAATGCAACTCTTCTCCCCACCACTCACTCCTTCCTATACTATACTCGACTATAACTTACTATCAATAATGAGACACTTCTATTGCCTAACATTGAAATATTCACTTATACGGCACTCGTGTCACTATAAGTGCTTACGTTATGTGCAAAACTACGGCACTCTCTCTCTCTTTCTCTCTCTCTCTCTCTCTCTCTCTCTCCCTGCCCTGTGGATCAACATAATAGTAGGCAATGGATTGTTTGTCTGAACCAAGTCTTCCACTAAATATTCAGATTAACTCCAATTTAAAGAACGGTTTTCTTTCATACAATAGTCAACCATTCGTTTCGAGAAGTTTGCAAAGTTTTTCAATTATTGTGGAAATAGTTAAGAAAACTTCTCTCAAAGTGACCTATACTTGCATTTGATTCAAATCAATACAATGTGAGAATGAAATATAATTATAGTTCATATGAAATATATTTTTCACATCATATAATTCTTTTTGTAATATAAATATTTTTTATAAAAGATTTTCTATTTATATTTGAACTCATGTTAACTAAAGAAGAGATAGAGTGCCGTAGTTTTGCACATAACGTAAGCACTTATAGTGACACGAGTGCCGTATAAGTGAATTGAATGGTGACCACAATATACCGATTGGCCCAATATATACACACTTGCATTATAACAGATAAATGAGGTTCACTTCACATCATAACTGGTTTTATGTATTTGTATTTAATGCTAATAAAACTTTCGAAAAAATTGATGCATTAATCAAATGCTTTTCTAATTGTATGGTATTATAAGAAACTACATTGTATTTACATAGACATTGCATTAAGTTTGTATTACGGGTTTGAAATACTTTTTGAATTACTCTCTATAAGTGTTTTAGAGTAAAATCCATTCCATTAAAAGTTTTTTTGAAAATATTTATTTTTTAAATTAAATTAAAGATTAATAATAAGTTATATATAAATTACTGATTGAATATTCTTACGGAAATATTTGTTATATTGAAAAATAATTTATTATTCCATTATTATCTATAATAAATGGAAATATTGTAGGAAAAGTTTGTCAGCATTTAGTTAGTTTAGATACTGTACTTGCTTACAAATGAAATACTAGTTTCGCAAATAATCTGTTGGACACGTATTTCTAGACTTGAAAATTATATTTAAATCAATGGATGTGTTGTGGTTTGGTATGACTCGTGCCATCGTATTGGACGCAGACACAGTCTGTAGACAGACGTGTGACTGTCCTCTTAAGTGGTGACGATTTAAGTAATTAAATACATAAGGGTTTGGGAGTGGGGTAAGATTGTAGACATGGAGTGGACTGTTGTCTCAGAAACAATGTGTTCAACGGAAGGACTCTTTATAATAAACAAAAGGGAGAGGGAGGACGGGCTCACTATTAGTGGATCTAATGGGCTGTTAAGGGTGTGAGGTATCGGAGCATTTGGCCGTGAGATGTACTGGTGCTCAGCACATGTCTATCAATAGGATTTGACTTTAAGATGGTATCAAATTTCTTTTGAAATATTCAGTCACTTTTCAAATGTTTTTTTTTTGATTTTAATGATTTCGATAAATTATGCGAAACCAAAATGAATTTAAATTATATCATAATTTAAAGTTTTTTATTTGGTTACAGACTTGTTCTCACTCTAAATATGATAACTTATATTACAAGTACTGTATTATTTGTAACCAGAAGTTATAATCAAAGACTTAATGATCCCAAACATGAAAAGTATTAGATTTATAGCCAATGAAAGCATTGATTGTATTCCTATGACCTTTCCTGCACTTGCATTTGAATATTATTTATAATTTATTTAATAGTGAGATAAGAATTATATTTGTATGATTACCTTAAAATGTTTTTTTTCATTATTTGTAAGTGTATGAAGTTTTGTTAAATTCAAGATTATTTTTGAATTAATTATAGAAAAATTAAATTTTTTATATAAAATACAATGCAATGTATTGATAAATGAAAAACAAATAATTATCATAATACTACTTATAGTTGTAATTCACTTTACTTGTGGTAAATGACTTAAAGGTAAAGCTTGTGGTAAAGCTATTATAATATTCAAAGAAAAAATCTATTATTAACTAAATTTTCTTGTATTCTAGGAAATTATTTAATTTTATCTCATGTGTTGAGCTAAATGGATGAGTAGTGTAGGGATTGTTTTAAAATGATTTTCTACAATTCACATAAGTTCTTGAATTTATCATTTTATTAACTCATGAATTCATTTAATTGATTACATTTTTGAGATTAAATTGGAAAATATTCTATTTATATATGAATTTCTCATTTCTTAATAGCCATTAAAAATACATTTTTCTAGCTATCCCCATAATAAGCTTTAGATTAACTTTGATTTAAGTTTTGGTCTATTTATATGATATTACTTTATATGTTCATTTCATTGTGAAGTTATATAAACTCGATGTCGAATTACTAAGGTTGTTATATTTAGCTTAATATAAATCTTGGCGTTAAATTTAGCTCAGATTTAATTGAATAGATCAAATGTCTATAAATAAAATAATATATCTCGATGTATTTCCTAAAATATTTAACAACCAGTACACTTTTGTTGTGAAAACCGGAATAATGTAATTCTGTGTGTTTGTAATAATGGAAATTCTTGTTTGTTGCAATTCTTTAGATTATTTTAAGATTAAATATTCACTCATACTGTATATGGCTTATGAATGAGTATTTTTGCCAATCAAAGAATCTTTATAAATTGAAACTAAATCTAAAATAGTTACAATCCTATACAGAGTACTGGGAAAGGGAGGGAGAGCTATATTTTCAATGGTCTTTATCAACTTTTCTCGTTAAAGCGACAAATCATTTAATTTAATTAATAGTCACTTAGAATTTAATTCACTGATTTAATATAAAAGTAATCATTTACATACAGTATTTATAAGCTTATTAATATTAATACAGTAGTAACGTTATCACATTCATAGTATTTGAAGTAATATTAAATTTATTAATTTAAAAAGTAATTTAATTTAATTAATTTTAAAAGTCTTAATTTTATAGCTTTAAAATGCATTATTGAACAGGGTCTACTTAATTTTAAATTGAATTGGTAAATTAATTTTGGGTTCTTTTTACAAATAGTATATATACTGAGATTTGCCAACAATATAAGTTATACAGTAGTACTTTACACATATGAATGCATATTATAACACATTTATTGAGATTCTCCGGAAGAGAAATTGAGTTATTGTCATAATTAGTAATTAACTATAATTTTAATTGTATTGCATTTCTTAACACTTATACTATAAGGAAGGGATAAGATACTCAAGAGAAATGTTTTATTATTATGAGTTATGTATGTTTTGGTGCCTAAAGACAATAATCTTTTACTAACTTTAATTTAACGTTAATTCTATTCATAGCATATTTTTATTTTATTATATAATAAAATTTATGATATAAGTTTTTTGTATTTAATCATATTTATGCCAACATTTTTGGGTATTTTTATTTATGTATTTTCTAAAATAGATTTAATACAAGATTTTAAAATTAATTTGATATAAAATATTGAGATTAATTTGTAATAATAATTATAACTCCAAAATTAGGGTTATTTACAACACATGAAGGCATTTGACGAGTCGAAGATCACTTGTGAAGAGATCCAGAATCTGTTTAGTAATATAGAAGACATCTATTTATTTAATTCGGATTTTTTAAGTCAATTAGAAGAGTGTGGTCTGAATGCTGTGTCCATCGCCAAGAGTTTTATCACCAAAAGCTCGGGATTTGATATATACACCCATTATTGTACAAACTATCCCCGGTTTGTCTCTCATTTGATATTTTATTTTGTTTTTAATCTAAATTTCTTAACTGATTTCAAACAGAATAATTGAACTCTTTTTGCTTTTCTGTTCAGAACGGTGTCCTTATTAACAGAAATGATGCGAAACACAGATAGGGCTGAGATATTTAGGGAAAGGCAGCTCTCCTTACGCCATAGTCTTCCTTTGGGTTCATACCTACTAAAGCCCGTCCAAAGAATATTAAAATATCATCTACTGCTACAGGTATGACATCTAATCCCTGTCCACTGTACGTGACATTAGCTGAGACTTGTCTCGTGTTTGACCAGAATATCGTCAAATACACGGACAAAGAGACCAACGATTACATTGACATAAAGAACGCGTTATCTGTGATGACAAACATTGCGATCCATATAAACGATATGAAGCGGAAACACGAACACGCAGTCAGGGTTCAGGAGATCCAGAGTTTGCTCTATAATTGGCCGGTAAGACAATAATGCAGTTAATTACTGATAACACAGACTCTAATGGCTCTAATGGTGACAAATGTGTGTTTGTAGGGCCAGGATCTGACCACATATGGTGACCTCCAATGCGAGGGCTCCTTCCGAATGTTCGGTGCGAAAGGTTTTCGACATTTATTTCTTTTCGACCGAATGTTGTTAATCACCAAAAAGAAAGACGACGGCGCTCTCAGCTTTAAGACACATATTCTCGTATGTATTCCAGTCCTCATCTCTTCTATAATTATATGTTTTTACTCTTTTGACTCAATTTGAACGAAAACCACTCAAAGATATATTTGTCTTAAAAGTGTTCCCATTCTGAACACAAATTGAGTTCAATTTCAATAAAATTAATTTCGATGCCATTCCTCCATTCCCTCCATTCCTGCCACTCATTAACATTCCTATTTGTAAACCGCTTTTCTGCTACTCTTTAACCGCTTCATAGGCTTTGCTTTGCTATGAATTGCTATGAATTTTGATAATATAACACACTTTTGAGTCTAATTATCATATTTTTCTTTATTACTATAATTGTTGTTTTAAAACATTATTTACTTAAATGTTGACATTATTTAGCATTTATATAAAATATAAATAGGAATTCAAGTTTAATTCATTCAATTAAACATTTATTCTAATAAAGTGCATGCATTTTAAAATTAAAGCCAATTTATTTGCTACAATATGAAAAAAATATATTCACTTAATCCAAACATTTAAAAATAAAACTTTTAAGTACTGGGATGGCCATAGAGTGGGGGTGGAGATCACGATCGGACACATTTGGGGGCATGTGATAAATGGCCGCCCATTTTATTGATGTCAAGTTTATTAATAAATGTGATTTTTTAAAATTGGCACAAAATTGATCAGAATTTCAATGATTATGTAATCTCAAATCAATAATTAATTTTTAATAATTTATTGGATTAGATTTTAATATAAATTATAATCTATTAGGCTCCCATTATATATCAATTATTTAAAGGCTATGCTATTATTATAGGAAAAGTGGGACTTCCCTAAACGGATGATTAAATTAATATCAATGTTGTGCTCTTGAATTGGGGAAACAATTGAATGCATTGTTAGGTTTGAATGGAAACGTTTGATACACTGGTGTGTCTGAAAAAACATGTGAATCCAAGCATTTTGTGGAAATTTGTTGACTTAATAAGAAATTTTATTTGATTTTTGTGCCCTAATTGGCTGTAAATGAGTTCATCTGTGATGAGCACTGAGAACACGCACTGGTTTTGGTGCTGATCTGCACCTGCTATGAGCCCCAAGACTTGAATGTCCCGATTAAAGGCATCACAAAAGAAAAGTTTTTATTATTATATCTTATTTGACACTTTCGGAGAAATAATTTTTTATCGATTTATTAATTTTTATCCCATTTCATACTTAACGCCATTATTTTGCTAAAAACGGAATTTTCCCGTTATTTCAATTGAATTTTAGAGTTGAGGAAACAATTTTTATAAATACAAAATACAATTCAATGCAAACTCTTGTGTATACACTGTATAGCTTACTAATGGCACTAATATCTAACCCAATCCGTAATCCCACTTACGGTTTGAATTGTATTAACTAATAAAATGGAAAAGCGCTGACCTATTCCCTATTCTTAAGGCATTATTTTGGTGTAACATAAATATTTTCAATGCCACCCCACCCCCACATTATTGGACTTAAGTATCCTCTCCGTAACGCTAAACATCTGAAAATAATTGTCAAAACTTTTAGTAAAAACACTTATGGTGTTACAAATATGATAATGTTTACTTCTCGAATGAACCACTTTTATAATAAAACTATTATTTTAATATTTATGTATTGTTATAATTAACAATTTTTAATTAACTGATAAAAAGATAGAAATGTTTAGCGAGATATTAGGATACAATTGAAGCAAAACATGAATACAATGTCTTAGTTTTGGTCATAATTACGATCAAAGCTTACATTAATAAGAGTGAGAAGTAGTGCTTTAAATAGAGGTCAGATAGGCTTACGACCAGAACAAAGATTTATATCTATGTTAACTTACATTTGAAAATAGATTATCTCATGAATAGCCGCTTCACACCCCCCGCACACCCCACACCCCTGCCCTCACAATGTCCTCAAATATGTCTCATTTATGAGTCCACTGAATGTTTGGCAAAATATATCTTAAGAGGTGTTTGAATATAAATCTAAATTTTATGACTAATTTTATGAAAAGGTTTTATTAGTTTTGAATAAACATTTGACTCGAGATTAGTTGAAATGAAGTTTTTGTTTGAAAATAATCATTTCAAATGAGATTAATTTTAATGAATATTTTATTTAAATTATTTTTGGGTTTAGTGTTCAAACTTAATGCTAATAGAGAGCATTCAGGGCCAACCACTTTGCTTTCACGCCATTCCCTTCGATCAGCCCAGAGCTCAGTACACATTTCAGGCCCGAAATTTGGAGCACAAGAGGGAATGGTGTCTACTATTAAAGAGAGTGATTCTCGAGAACTATGACGTTGTCATCCCCTCTCACGCCAAGCAAATAGTTATGCAATTGGGACAGACGGCCAACTCAGCGAACGGGCCGCCAGAGAAGGCCCACACGAACAGTAAGCGCACACTGAGTGCTCCGGAATACCTCGAGCGCAGGAAACAGGAAAACCGACGCAAATCCGAGGCCACTGTCAACCATAATCTCAGCAAAGGATTCAAACTACGAAAGTCACTCAAAAAGATTCATTATATGGACGGACATAACGGTTGGCGTCGATCCCGGAGCTCCAGCTATGACGATAACGCGCGCATTCACTCCCATTGCAAAGACAACGATCAAAGCGAACGGCGCTCCAGTCTGGGACCCATTGATTTGAACGCCTCTCATATTGATATCTCAGATGAGAAGCTGGAAAGTAGTCCTACGATTACAATGACAGGTATAACAGGTGTTGGCACAGGAGCTGACAATCAGCCAAAACTTGTTGAACGCTATGAAGGCTCAGCACAGGATCTGACGGAAGAGAAAGCAGACAATGAATCTCTCACTCAAACCAATGTCATGCATAACATACTAGAACTGAGACCACCTCCGCGTACAGTGACGATAGGGCACCGGGAGATGAATGATATGCCAAACGAGAACGAAGCCGAATACGTGACGTTCTATATCTCACCCAATAATCATCGATTGGATTCGAGTGAAGACTCCAGTGTTCAGATGTCCAACAGTTCCAGCACTCTGTACAACAGGACGAGTACTCCATTGTCTTCGGGTTCGAGTGACCTGTCGATGGCCTCGTCCTCGCAATCGGAGGACTCGAAATACGTTGTGCTGCCGGTGAACGCACTCTTCAGTTACTCCAACCAACTGTCAGATCTCTCCAATCCTATTGTCCGTCGCGTCCAGTCTTTTACGGGTATGTCTCGCACTAAAGCCATACTACAACACACCCTCTCATTGCGACACTCGTTGGCACCCGATTTGCCGCCAACGCCTCCCAACAAACGATTAGTTCAGAGACCAAACACTTTAAATTTGTCCCACTCTTCCAACTCGTGCTCATCCACACAATTGCCTCCAAGTAATAGTTTAGATGAGATGAGTCCCACAGCGCCGGCCATTTGGCTTAAGCGTCAGGAGCAGCACTTCGCCAGTCCCTGCAAGAAAGGCGGTTCACTTCCCAGAAGTTTTGAGACGACTTCGTTTGCGCCGACAAATGAAGACAACTGTCAGACAACGCCAATCAATCGCTTGCGTTCAACACATGCCGAGCAAAGACCGTTCACTATAGCAGCCGATCAAGCAATCAATGGCGAGTACATCGACACATACATCGGCACCGATCACCGGAACCAGTGTTTCAAATCTAGTGACGACATTAAGTGTTCAAACAATTCGTCTTCAATAAGTTTGGAGAATATGTCCGATCAGTCAGTCCTACACCCGGAGCACAAGATCTACAAACACAGCGCTTCTAAATATATAAAATCAGTCATATTTAACGTAAGCTCTAAATTAATATCACTTCGACGCTCGCCAACGGTTTCCGATCAGTTGTGCGCCGATAACGCTTCGGTCGCCTCTGGAGAAAGCGGTGATAGATGTGAGTCACCGGTAGTCCCACCGAATCGGTGTCCAAACAACAACAACAAAGAGCCGAATGAGTCGTCGAAACAGGAAATAAGCCCTAAATTAATAACGGCTCGATTTGTGCACACTTTGGCCAAAGTTTACTCCAATATAATCAAAAACAAACTGAAGAACTCATCGAAAATTGAGAGCGAAATGACTGCGAGCAGAGCGCTGTCAGAAATCCCTAGTCCTGTGTTCGCTCGCATATCAGTGCCCAAAACGAGTGCTGCGGCCGCCGCCCGGTTGGCCGCCTATAAAGACTTTGATTGCGACGGAGTTGCGCCCAAACATAGATGTGGTCTTCAAAAGCACTACTCCTTTAAAAGGCCCGACAGTTTAATCTCCGATATATCCAATTCAAGTGAAAACAATGATAAAACCGATTCAAACGGAAATAACGACACTATCGATGACTCGCCCTCTGATGTGAGCGATTCATCACTCGATAGCTTTTATGAACAAACGTTTGAAGCGATTGAAAGTGTTTTGACTGAAGAGATGTTCGGCGAATCGGGCTTTTATAGCCAAACCAGAGATGATAACGACTCTGACCTCTCTGTCAATCCTATCGAGCAGTTTATGGACGACAATGAGGACACGGGATGTTATAATCACTTGAATTGCATATCGAATTTGAATGCCGAAGAAAAGCAAAGTATTTACAAATCAATAGAGGAGTTGTCGAGCGTTGGCCTCAACTTAAACATATTGAGTGCAAAGAGAGTGAAGGGCGCTATCATTGAAAAACTCAAAATTCTTGAACAGAACTCTCACTTTCATAAAGACATTAATGTCTGTGACTTCGATGGCATCAAAAGTATTAAGGAAAGAGTCGAAGAGTTGGAGAAGTGGCGCAGCAATAAAGAGAATATCGATGAAAACGATGAGTCTTCTGATGAGGAATTGCCAAAAGGTTCGCCAAAACCCAACTCCAAGGGTTGGGTTAAACACGTGATCGGAAAGTTGCAAAACGATGAAAATCAGTCGTGAATTAAATTAATTTCTATTTAAAACTCTTAACTATTTTCTAACCCGAGAAACAAAACGTGATTTTAATGTTATTTATCGTAAATTTTTTACTGATTTATAGATTTTGAGTCAAAATATTTTACTAACAATTTATGACGTAATCAAACAATTATTATCTGATATAAAATATTGATATCATTTTTATGTAATTATTTAATATAACAATGAATCAAATAATCTACGAGTAACTGAATATTCAGTTATAATTCACTAATTATATTAACAAGTATTTCGATGTGAGACCAACTGTAGTGACAATTAGAATAAGTCTTTTATTTATATTTATATGCCATAAGAACTTAGTTTTTATTAATATGTTTGTGTGCCTTACAGTATATCTCATATTTTGTATCAATTATTTTTTGTGCCAAAAGGACAAGAATTTTTAGTTTTTGAGCACTTTTTATATCTTTTGAATCTGTTCTCTAAGAGTTAGCAAATCAGTGATTTTTATATTGTGTCCAAATTTTACACTACTTTCTTATGACTCAACACTATACACGAAACAAATCTAATTTATTACTCAAATTATTGGCATAACTTTATACTAAAATTCTCGATTAGTTTTACTAAATATATTGTATTTCATATCTCTTTCTAATTCAATGTCTAGTCATACACTTGTATTTCAATTAATGGTATATAATATTAATGATATTATTAGACCGACGAATGCAATACTATTTAGTATTTAATATAAAAATGCAATTTTATAAATTATTGAAACCAATAATGTCTGACATGAAAATTACCACATATTCTATATATTATATAATTAATATATAATGATTAACATTAATTTAATTAAAAATACATTTATTATAACTTTATGAATAGATTATCATAAAATTGTAAATAAAGCTTATCATTGATTAAATAAAGTTTTTTTTATTGAATGGATATTAATATTGTTTGAAACAAGAATTGCCATAATATGACCAAAATATTGGATTAGGTTTGGATAGTATTCCCAATAAATATCTCATCGATTTATACAAGTCTTCACTAAAACTAACGGTAAGTAAACAAATATTTAGTGAACTCTTCGGCCGATTAAAAGGTGATTGAAGTGATTATCAGTCATTCAGTGAATGACATTACACTTAATATACAGATATCACAGGTCTTATGAAATAGACTCAAAGGACTCACTGTTACTACACTTTATTTATAAGCTATTTATCGAAACAATTGACTTATATATTGATTATAAATGTAATCATATATTGAAAGCAATATTATGTATAAAATGATAGCAAATGAGTGTTTGTTTGAAGCGATCACCGAATGGATCAGTCGTTGGCGATGTGCTCTTCCATGCCATCGCTCTCCGTAACCAAAGCCCTCTCGAGAATGACTTTCCCCTCTTTGTATCTCTGGTTCTCTTCGGTGGCGAACTCGTAAATCCAGCCCAACTTCGTGTCGCAGTTCTTGCACGAGACGTCTCGCACCATATGCCTGCCCGTCAACATCACCCGGTCCTGCACTTCACTGCACCACACAATGGATACAAACACACAGTCAGCACATCTAAGGACATCAAGACATCTAATGGACATCAAGACATCTAATGGATATCAAGACATCTGATGGACATCAAGACATCTAATGGACATCAAGACATATGTCTGTACCTGTAGTTCAAGTTGACCACTCGGTTGAAGAGGAAGGCGCGTCCGGTGGCGCCCGTGAATCGCGTGCTAATCAACTCATGTCTGTTCGTCAACACTGTGTCACAGGAGGCGCACGAGAACAGACGCACCCCTCCCATGTGCTCCAGAAATATACGACCCATTCCTCCGCAGACAGACACCGGTTCACTGCAATGGATGCTGTGTTCACCCAAACAGTGGTCAACAATGTCTTCAAATGTCTTCAAATCAGTTCAGATGTCAACAAATGACTGACAATTCAATCAAAACATTTGACGTCACCTTTAAAGCCATTCATAGACAACGTTATGACTAAATAATACACAAATGCTATGATAATCACAATTATTTTATTTTATTTATTTATTTCATTAATTTAAGTTGAATTTGATTTCTTATTATATTCTTCGAGTTCTCCTAAGAAGTGCCGACACTTTCCGATCAATATCTCTATGGCTTCAGAAACCAATTGATGGGCCGGAAGAGCGCCCGTCGACTCCACAGTGACTATAGTTGTCATAAAAATATCATTTAGTCGTCAAATAATTTTTATATCAATTCAATGATAAGACTTACAAATGAAATGATTCTTAACTAAAGACATCTTTACTTTGTCTTTGAGATGAGGATAACGAAAGACATTACGTCCGCCCGAATCCAACCGAGAATTCACTACTTTTGCCACTCGTTTTCCCTTAGATTTGTCCACAATATCTATGACTCCCTTAGAAAAGCACTTCTGGAGCAGTTCCGCGTCTTCGCCCTCCACTTCTTCCAAGAGTTCGATTTGAGGTAAGAGTCGATAGGAAGCGGTGGACACCGGAGAGAACTTTGCGTGATCTCTACCGATGCCTTTCACGCAATGCATCTGAAGATCCAGTTCCTGACCGACGGCTAACTTTGCAATAAGTATGTCGTCGTCAACAGGTTTTATAGGATTGTCGATAAAAATGTCCGAATGATTGCCAATTGGTTCCCACACGAGATCTTTGGTATAAACCATACGATTCTGATAGAGCTCTTCAGGAAGAGTGGTCTCTTGTGACGCGCTTTTGTTTTTAACACATTTCACGCATAGATTGAAGACAATCGTGTCCTGTCCGCACGGGAAGTCTAGAGGATTTCATACAGGCGTAACACAGTCACTAATGTTGTTTCGCCGTCGTCACTATAATACCAGTAATGGAAGAACAGACATAAGCTTCTTAGCACCTAGTCGAAACTACGGAATGAGACCTAATCTGTGCGCCAGAAACTCGTCTTGAAATAGACTCGTGTTGTTGTTGACGAACACCTTCTCGATGGCCATTGAGGGCACCTCTGAGATGAGGATTCTTCGGAAGGCATTGGCCAGAGAACAGTCCACTCCTATTAAGTCAAATTCAATCTCATTCTCTTCGCTCCGGATTATCGAAATCTTCAGATTCTTTGAGTGCAAAGCAAAACATTTTATAAATTATTCAAATCAATAGAAAACCACAATTAATGGCAAACTTTGATAAAACGATTGAAATCCCAGTTGTCGTCAAATCCGCGGTAATTTGACGGATAATCAGTAGTCGTGGTCTTTGGATCAGATGATAACAATTAGTTCAGTTTAGACACAATTACAGACAAACACATACATTATTGATCTCATGTTCACCAATAGTGGCATATCTTCTCATGTCATCCATCCTTACAATCACTTTAATTGGTCTCAAAATTAATTCAAACAAATGTTTCAAAAGTTTTTCAATTCAATGCTAACTGAAGACCCGATTAAAGCAAGTGATGATTGAATGGGCAACACATGGGGAGCACATGTGTGAGGTGATGGATACCCTGGTCAGTGGTCACGCGGTCACTGACACACAAACATTGATTTAATAAATCAAATAAATAGCAATCAAAACACGTGTTTGAAATAAACACTAACTTATAAAACATTGTCTGTGTTTTAGCTATGAATCCCTTTGTATATGAATTTCTAAAATATATGACAAATCGTATGAATAAAGCGTTGAGTGCTTTGGCAATGAGTTGGCGACCCCTGTGTTGGTTACGTAACTCAGAGTAAAGTCGCGACACTTTTTACATTTAAAATACTATTCACTGAATGTTAGGGTGTATTGAATGAGACATACATTCAGTTATTAATAGACTATTGAATCACTCGTTAAGTCATTGAATACACGATTCAGTCATACATTTAATGCTTAATTATTGGCTCGTATTTTGTACTAAAAGTCTATTTATTTGTCATTCGTGTGGACACAAGAAGTGGTGAGTGATGTTCAGTTGGCTGAGTGCTAGTAATGACCGCAAACGACAGCCCGAGCTCTTCATAAATGTGGTCGAAGGCCTCAAACGGATCTATAAGTCGAAGATCCTTCCTCTGGAAGAGCACTATCTGTTCCATGAGTTCCATTCCCCTCCTCTGGAAGACGCCGACTTCGACGCCAAACCAATGGTTCTGTTGGTCGGGCAGTACTCGACCGGAAAGACCACTTTCATTAAGTACTTACTCGAGAGGGACTTCCCGGGCATACGGATAGGTCCGGAGCCGACGACCGACCGGTTCATCGCTGTCATGCATAACGACTCGGAGGGAGTGATTCCGGGCAACGCTCTGGTGGTGGACCCGAAGCGTCAGTTCCGACCTCTGGCTAAGTTCGGCAACGCTTTCCTAAACCGTTTGCAGTGCTCTCAACTGAACTCTCCTGTCTTGGAGTCGATCACAATAGTGGACACTCCGGGCATACTGTCCGGTGAGAAGCAGAGAGTGGATCGCGGATATGAGTTCACAGGAGTGTTGGAGTGGTTCGCCGAACGGGTGGACCGAATAATTCTGCTTTTCGATGCCCACAAACTGGACATTTCCGACGAATTCCGGCGATCTATAGAAGCGTTGAGAGGACACGACGACAAGATCCGGATTGTGCTCAACAAAGCAGATATGATAGACCAGCAGCAGCTCATGCGGGTCTACGGGGCACTCATGTGGTCGTTGGGCAAAGTGCTCAACACTCCAGAGGTGGCCCGTGTCTACATCGGCTCCTTTTGGGACGAACCGCTCAGATATGACTACAACCGCAAGCTATTCGAAGCCGAAGAACAGGACCTTTTCGGTGATATCACAAGTCTTCCGCGGAATGCTGCGCTCAGGAAACTCAACGATTTGATCAAAAGGGCACGACTTGCGAAGGTATGACCCATTCATTTGAGTTGATTGTTGTGCATATGTTTAACAGTGGATGTGTTGACCGTATGGTTAGGTTCACGCGTATATCATAAGTTCCTTAAGAAAGGAAATGCCGTCCGTTTTCGGCAAAGACTCCAAAAAGAAAGAATTGATTAAACATTTGGGAAATATATTCACTGATATTGAACGCGAATACGGAGTTCCCATCGGAGACTTTCCAGACTTAAACGAAATGCAGGAAAAACTATTACATCACGACTTCACGAAATTCCATCCCTTGAAGAAACCACTTCTCGATGCCGTCGACTCCATGTTGGCCAACGATATCGCCAAACTCATGGCAATGATTCCACAGGTTTTGGTTTTGATTTCTTGTGACCAGTGAATGGAATATAAGTTTGAATTGTATTTTAGGAACAAATTGAGACCAAAGAAGAGACGGTCGTAAAGGGCGGTGCGTTTGAAGGCGCGAAAGAGTCGCCGTTTGGATATATGCGCGGCGAAGGCATAGACGCGGGTTCTCTGGACAAGGAGTGGATCGTCGAGAAGGACCGACCGAAATACGACGACGTATTCAATAGCCTGGAACCGGTCGACGGCAAGATTACCGGTGCGATGGCGAAGGCAGAGATGGTTAAATCAAAGCTACCGAACAGTGTTTTGGGCAAAATCTGGAAACTCTCGGACTTGGATCGCGACGGTATGCTTGACTCGGATGAATTTGCGTTAGCCATGCATTTGGTGCAAATCAAGCTCAACGGTCATGACTTACCACAGCAACTGCCCGACCATCTGATCCCTCCCTCCAAGCGAACTATAAATGGATCTTAAATTATAACACTTATAGTTCAAGTGCTTTATATATATGAAGTATAAATGAAATTTTAATATAATTGTAACGAATTGTTTCTCTATTTATAATACTTTGTCAATACTTTATACCGTTTATGGCACTGTTTGTGACTTCACTTTTTCAACGAATTTGACATTTTTGTCATGAATTATATTATATGATGAGTGCAATCAAGTTATTGACAATACTTTCTAATTATTTTAACTTAAATCTATGTTATATTTATTGTTCTCTCAAATAAAACCTTTATTTTTATAAAATATTAAATTTAAATGCAAAATAAAACATTTTTATTCAAATTATTTATATATTTTTCATAACATTTATCACTAAAAGTAATAAAAATTTTAAACAAATTGTTTAACAAAAAAGTGTTAAAACTTATAAATCTTTGTTGCGCTCTAATTGTCAACCAATTTGTTCAGTTACACAATATATTACAGTAACTAATATATTACACAAAGTTTTCAAATTCAATCTAATCTGAAGCAACGAGAAGACAGTTTTTGGATAAGATATAGGAAATAAATAAAAATCATTATTATTGCAAATTTTTTATAAAGACTTGTATTCATTAAAGTAATTAAATTTAAATGACATTAGAATTTCATGTACAAAGTATTAAGCAGTCCTACAGGATAATTAGGTTAAGTAGATGTAGCTTTATACTTCTACTCAACATATCGATTACCGCGGTATAATTACTGTTTTAGATTATAATACAGTATTATCAAAATATTAAATAATACGAAAATTATTTAATGAAATATTAGCGATATATGAAAAAATTTTCTACAAAATCATTGCTTAATTACGTTTGACTCCAAATATTTTCCTGTTGTAGAGCTTGTTTTAATAGCAGATAGTCTCCAAACGCATAATTCGCTTGTTTCTAGTTTGGATATATTGAATACAATGAAAATATAGTCAACTCATAAATAGGTTATAAAAACTTTTGTTTTACCAAAATATTGACTTTGGAATCGTTGAATAAATTCTCGCTTCCATTCAATTGGTAGAGAACTGTAAACATTTTCTGAAGCAATAAAAATACTTTTGTCTCATCTATTAAATGAGTCATTGAATTGATTGAATCATTTGCATATGCTTTGCCCCTAATAGCTATGCTTTCATTCAAATAGGATTCCAGAAAAGTTTTCATAGTTTGTTGACAATTGTGGTCTGAATAATCAAATTGATTAAAACATAGCCAATCGTTGCACACAATACCTAAGTCTCGGCCCCGATAGCCATAACTGGAGAACTCGAAGTCAATCAATACTACTCTATCTTCACAACAATTCTTATCATTTGCTTCTTTCACTATTATATTATTACATCCAAAGTCATTGTGACTGAAAACTATTGGGGATTTGCTTTCTATCACTACTTTCTCCATAAATTTAAATTCAGTCTCGAAATCATTTTCAAGCAAATATTTTAATTGATTTTCTTTTATGAGTTCATTGTTTGGAGAAATTTGATATGAAGTGACGTTTTTGTGGGTAAAAGTCTCGTAAAACCAAGTGATGGACGAATTGATAGGAGGTCTCAAAGAATGGACTTTTGCTAATTTTGTGCCCAATTCTCGCACTAATGACTCGTCCTTTTGATCCAATGCGTTGAATTGATGGCACTTCTCACAATATATTCAACAAAAATATAATTTAACTTTAGTTATTAATAATTATAACGTAATATTATTTACATAAAAACTTTTGTTAAATTAAAACTTACACCGTTTTGACTGCAATAGTCAACCTTACACTTACTATTAACTTTTAGTTTTTAAATGAGAATTCCTATTAAAGGTAATTTACTGTATAAAGTCACCCTTTACATATTTGAACGGGGATTCTAAATGATCTGTATTCATATACATAAGCATTTAATCAAGTTTTCTCAATTCTTACAAACTTTTATTTTCATCGGAAAAGGTCTAACAAATGTTTAAGAAATATGAAGAGAGAGAGAGAGAGAGAGAGAGAGAGAGAGAGAGAGAGAGATAGGAATACTGTATGGATATGAGGAGAGGATGTCCATTGAAATGTCTATATATGTCTCCAAACCTCATAATATTCCATAAGAATAGCGTCCGAAGAGATGCCGTAAATCTTTGGACCCAATCTTAGTTCAGATATAATTAATCCGATTATAAGATCATTGAATGGACTGTCGTTGGCATCGAGGGGTCGTTCACTCATTCGGTATAATTTGATGGCAATATCTTTGGGTATGTCTTCACTGGAATCCATTTGTTTGTTAAGTTGACAGCAAATCATTTGATTAGTAAATCCACCGGTGATTCGCTTATATATCACTTCATTTGGTCTCACATTCAGCCAAACATACTCTGAACACAATTTATGGCACTTTTCCACCAATTCTGTACTCAATTCTTCACACATTCTTCCAGTTTAGTAGAAGTTTCCTTCAATTATTGTTCACCTCCAGAATATTCTTATTAATATTGTTTCACTCCAGAGGTCAACCCTTTTCGTTATAAGTGTAACAAATATTTCGTTTTAAATACATTGAAAGCAAACGCTTTTCAAACGATTTACAATTAAATTGATAACAAAATTGTTATAAATAATAATGAATTCATTGAAAGTTAGGTAAGAATTGAATGAAAGTCTCTGTATTGCAGACTGCAATGCAATTTGCAGTGAAGGGCCAAAAGGGGGCAGAAGTGGCAGCAAATGAGGTGAACGTAGTGTATGTGAGACTGCATTGAAAGCATTGACTGATTGACTGGTAGTGTGTTTGCGTCAAAATGGCTGAACACATGTCCGGCGGAGTGTCCCGAAGACCCAAACAGGAACTGCCAGAAGACTTGTCTAATGTTGAGTTCGAGACCAGTGAAGACGTCGAAGTGATCCCCAGCTTTGACTCACTCGCACTCAGGGAAGACCTACTGCGAGGCATATATGCTTATGGTATGAACGCATTGATCCATTGATCCATTGTTGTCGTCATACATCCATTGATTGATTGATTGATCCGATGATAGGTTTCGAGAAGCCGTCGGCTATACAGCAGCGGGCGATCCGACCGATCATAAAGGGTCGGGATGTGATAGCACAGGCACAGTCCGGCACCGGAAAGACCGCCACTTTCGCCATCGGAATACTGCAGACAATCGACACTCAGATCCGCGAAACACAAGTACTTGTGTTGAGTCCGACCCGAGAACTGGCGGTTCAGATCCAGAAAGTGGTTCTCGCGTTAGGCGACTACATGAATGTGATGTGCCATTCATGCATCGGTGGCACCAATTTGGGCGAAGACATCCGCAAACTGGACTTCGGTCAGCACGTGGTGTCGGGCACTCCCGGCCGCGTGTTTGATATGATCCGTCGCCGCAATCTTCGGACGCGATCTATAAAGATGTTGGTTATGGACGAAGCGGACGAAATGCTGAACAAAGGCTTCAAAGAGCAGATCTACGACGTCTACCGATATCTGCCGCCCTATACGCAGGTGTGCCTCCTGTCGGCTACACTTCCCCACGAGATCCTGGAGATGACCTCCAAGTTCATGACAGACCCCATCAGGATTCTGGTCAAGAGAGATGAGTTGACTCTGGAAGGCATCAAACAGTTCTTCGTGGCCGTCGAGAGGGAGGAGTGGAAGTTCGACACACTCTGCGATCTGTACGACACCCTCACCATCACTCAGGCCGTCATCTTTTGCAA